TAGGACTTTTAACCCTATTTTCATAATAAAAAAATAGAAAAAAATTCCTAACTGTCGTGACTATGCCCCAGCATTGTGCTGCAGTGTGGTCAATTATGGACAAAGTATGTTGCGGCACAGTAATAACTCTGTAACAACTACTGTAAACTAGTACAATGCATGCATAATAACAATAGAAAATGGGCCCAAAACTTTTCCTTTTTATTATTAGTCATTCGTCTTTTGTACACAAAGAACGTCATTCACAAAAATGCCATTTTAAAAGACAAAACAGGGGGAAACAGTGTAGCTATTGCTCCTCGCTTACTGACGCCCCTCCGACTGCATCATCACCTAGATCCTGCATCCACAAAGGAAAATAACGGGGTGAGTACAAAATATTGCTCAGTAAGTAAAACCCTCTATCTATCTATCCCCGTATGTATTACTCTTAATTCTTTCCTCACACTTTCTGTTGTTTCCTACTACACGTCATGGCCTCATCTTACCGGAGGTACGGCCGGATGGCGTTCACACAGCACTATCTCACTCTTCATGACTATCGGGTGGAATTCACACAGCACCAACCCGTTCTTAGTGACTACCAAGTGGGGATCACGAAGCACCTACCCGGTTTTCGTAACTATCGAGTGGAGACCACATAGCACCTACCCGTTCCTCATGACTTTCGGGTAACGATCACCAAGCATTAACTCGTTCCTAATCACTGTCAAGTGATGATCACAAAGCATCAACCCATCTCTAATAAATATCGGGTGATGATCACAAAGCATCAACCCATCTCTACTAAATATCTAGTGATGATCACAAAGCATCAACCCCTTTTCTAATAACTAACCAGGTGATGGTCACAAAGCATCGACCCGTTTCTAATGCCTATCGGGTGATGATCACAAAGCATCAACCCATCTCTAATGGCTATTTGGGTGGTGATCACAAAGCATCAACCCGATTCTCATAACTGTCGGGTGATGATCACAAAGCATCAACCCATCTCTAATGGCTATTCGGGTGGTGATCACAAAGCATCAACCCGATTCTCATAACTGTCGGGTGATGATCACAAAGCATTCACCCATTTCTAATACTCTTCTCATTCACTCTATTCTAGCACTTCTCATTCTCTCTACCCTTAGAGTAGTTGCATCCACAAAGTTCTCTACTCATAGAGCAAGTGCATACACAAAGTTTCCTACTCTTTCTTAGGTCACTTCTCAATGCACAATTAATGCCTATGGATGGTTCATCTCCACTAATGCACTTATGAAATGCCAACATGCAATGTTGCAAGAATTAAGGTTCACTACTCATACTCAAACCTCTATTAGGCATTTCATCAAACAACTCAAGTGCATCATAAAACTCTACTATAGCAATGATTCTAAATCTTTCTCTAACCATCCAAAATGGGGAGAAACCCCCTCACATAGCCACAAAACCTGCCAAAGAAAGACACTTCCAAAAGGGTTCCACAATACCCCTTCAATTCCATCTCAAACTACCTTTCCAACCCACAACTCACTTCTTATATTTGAAAGGTATAAACAATCACAAAGCACTAGAAATCTCTATTTAAGCCTCAATAACATGGCATATAACATGTATATAACACACATACATAAGTGCTATCAAAACCCTAATCAAGAAAATTCCCAAATCTCAACTTGGGTTGGGGTTTACTTACCTTGTTATGGAGAGATTTCACTAACTCTTCCTTTCACTTGGTTTGCTTGACTTTTTCTCTACTCTTAAACAAAAGAACAAAAACCCTCAATATTCAATATATACAAAAACTCACAAAGCTTCACAACCAAAGTAAGAATCCTTACCTTAGGATGCCTTAGGTTGATTTTCTACCCCAAATCACTCCAAAAGCCCTTTAAAACTCCTTGATCAAAAGAAAGAGAATTTGAGAGGAAGCAAGAGAGGAGAGTGGCGATGGAGAAGAAGAATGAAGGGTTTGCAATGACTTAATTCCTTTTAATGAAATTTATACACAAGCATTCCCATTTTGCCCTTACTCTTCTTTGGGAATTCTATCTATATCCTTTGATTCATTACAAACACACCCCCATAGCAACATATTCTCCATAAAAATTCCTTACATTTTACTCCCCACTTTTCCTGCTAATTAGGGGTAGAATGGTCAAATTGCCCTTAGGGAAGAAAATATCTAAAACTTAACAAACATTTTGGTCGGCCTGTCGCCACGGCGAGGAAGCTTCTGTCGCCGCGGCGAAACTGTCCAGCAGCTTCCCGTGGCTTCAACACCTCTTCGCCGCGGCGAAGATTCTTCTTCGCCCCGGCGAAGCTTGGAACACTGAACTTCTTCTATTTTCAACCAATTTCAGGGCAAGTATTCAACATAACACTCAATCAAAGGTCAACCAAACAATATTACCAAGAAACCAACTCAAATAAGAGCAAAAGAAGAAACAATAACTACGTACCTCAAGTGGGGCGTTACAAACTCTTCTTCTTTAGTCCAAATCTCGCATCATTCCACAACACTTCAGAGATGTTGATTTCAAAGCATGATAACAATAGAATTTGGAGATGTCGTAAGCATATGAAACATAGCCCTTTGAATTAGCTTTCCAATAGTCAAAGAATTGTATTAATCCAAGTTCTACAGCTCGAGATGTTTTTGAAAGAACAAGGAATGCTCAAGATGAAGCGTAATCTAGAATCTTCTCTTTACTTCAAACCTCTGTAACTTCTTCAATTCAACTCCGATTCTTGATCCGTTTGTTTCTACTTGTCAGTCATTCCGTTGTTGATATGACTCTTCATTCAAGCATTGCATAACATTTAGCACTAATAACTTGAAAAACACTCAAACACACCCGTGATCCCATAAAAGGCAATTATGAAAATATCAAGCAACTTTACCAAATTAAGCCTAATTTCTCACAAATAATCCCCATGAACCACTAAGTAAATGTGTATTTTCAAGCTCTTATCTCAACCCCCAACCAGCTTCTTGCTAGTGCCTAGCAAGCTAAGCGCTAGAACAAGTCTTTTAGCTTGAAAACAAAAACAAAATAAAATTTATATCTAAACTATCCTAAATCATTTCCATAGATTGTCACAGTTGCATTTAGCATATGCAAAACCCCTAGGGGCCCTAGTTGGACAAGTTGTAGTCTCATGAGAGTTTCCAACGATGACACCCACAAACATCCAAATCTAACCTCCCCTAGACTCAAAACTAAAGACTCAAACAAACATTTTAGGATCCATACATATAATTATCTCAAAAATTGTGTCAATGTGAACAAATCAAATAATTAACAACACGCAAATATAAAGAATAAGCAAATTTCAACTACACTTTTGTTATTGACTCTCTCATAATCATTCACAAACCATTCATCCAAAAACTTGGATGATTTTATGCATAGCTTTTATAGGCAAAGTAAGAGAAAAGAAAAAAAAAATGTACAATCAAACTCCATAGGCTCACTTTTCAAACCACTCTCCACTAATGTAGAATCCAATCACAACCTAAGATCATTAGGTCTTTATCATGGTTGTAACATTAGGCTAGGGTAATGGTTTACAAAAGAATGGAAAGGAATGTTTAACAAAATATAAGAGACTTAATATTTACAGTAAATGACCATGAACAATCTGCTCCTTGCTTCCCTTCTCATTCACCCTCTACCCTTTCACATTGATGGAACTCTTCCTTCCAACATTAGCAAAAACCCTCATGTAATGTACCTCATTTCAAGTTCTTCTCCCCAGCTACTTCTTCCCATTTTTCTGCAAATTTTTCTTTGGCTTTTTTTTTCTTACGAAGATAATAACTCATAAAAAAATTGTCTACCCCACCTTGCTTCTACTATCATTTTCGTTTTCTTTTCACAACTACCAGCCTATCTCATTGCACATACTCAAGTTGTGGTCCAAAAGATATATTTATTATCTTCTACCACACTTCATTTCATGAGTTTTTCTTCTAAGGTCACCCCAAATTAAGTCTTTCACAATGAGATGGGTCAGAAAGTGTTTTAGGCTTCATCATCAAGGTGAGATATAGTGGGTTTAAAACAAAACAAAAATAAATAAATAAATAAATAAAGCTTACCAAGTGTATATATAGGCTCAAAGGGTTAACTAGGGATAAAATAATATAGGTTGGCTTGAAAGGCTCAATCGTTCCAAAGAAAATTGCCTAAATCATATCTTAAGCAATGCGGATTCTAGGATTTTGCCTCAAGTGTTTATCAAATGAGTTCTAGAGTTTATGCACAATTTTAACAAGAAAATTATTGCCAATAAAAACAAACATAAAATGTCTCTAAGTTTTTGAATTATTTAACCAATCAAACCCATTCCCAAGAGAGTCATAATTAAATGCAATTGTCATCTACTATCATCTTTACACTACATGAAAGTTAAATAAAATCTTAATGTCATAAATTCACAATCATGGTCTTATCATTGACTTATGTATGAGTTCCAAAACAAAACAAAATGCATTAACTCTTGAACCGACAACACACCTAAAACAATTCCACCCATAAGCTTTTAAAGAGATAATTCAAAGCAAAAGATATTCAAAGATGTCCATCAAATGAAACTAAATTTGGCCATAAAAAAATAATAATAATATTCCTTACCCTCAATCTTAGAGATGGACATTGTCCTCAATGTGCAAAGAGAACAACTACAATACTCTTCGTGCATAACATTTATGTGGAGATAGTCTTGTTAAGGCATGCATATTGTTTGTCGTATCCAATAGTCATCGGGAATCTAGTCAAAAGAAAACAAACTATGTGCCTTTCTTGGCCAATTTAGTGTGCATAAAGGAACTTATGAGTGAAACATAAACAACTAACATATTGAACCAAACCAAGTTTTCACAACTTAACACATTAAACAAAAATCTAAAATAAACTCAAAAAAAAAATTCAAAATTAAAGTAGAGAGCTTGGGTTGCCTCCCAATAAGCACTTTATTATAATGGTAAGCTCGACTTTTTGACTCCTTCAATCTGGATCATCTAGAAAAATCCAAGCCCTTTTATTCTTCAATCCACCATACAAATAAGGCTTCAATTGTTGTTCATCTAACCTCTCAAATTCAGCCTCCATAATCCTAGAGTTGACTAAACAATTTTCTAGGGGTGAGCTAGGGCAGTTTTCTTCTATGGTTTCCGCTACTTTGTCATCAAGGATACTAATCTCAAAGCAAGTATCTAACTTGGGTGGACATTTCATAGTATCAAAAACATTAAATTCAACTTGTTCATCCTCTACCCTCAAGATTAGTTTTCCTTGATGAACATCTATCAATGCTCTACCCATAGCTAGAAAAGGTCTTCCTAAAATTAGAGGCACCTCCTGATCTTCTTTCATATCTAATACAATAAAATCTATCGAGAAAAATAGTTTATCTACTTTTATTAAGACATCCTCTACTACTCCCCTAGGATATTTTATAGACCTATCCGCTAATTGAAGATGAACAATGGTTGGTTTTACTTCCCCTAGGCCTAGTTTCTTGTAAATTGAAAAGGGCATCAAATTTAGACTAGCACCTAGATCACATAAAACCTTATCAAAATGAATACTACCTATTGTGCAAGGAATTGTGAAACTCCCTGGATCTCTGAGCTTTTGTGGCAGTTTTTTCAATAGCAACACACTACAATCTTCCGTAAGCATCACTATCTCATGTCCTTCAAACCTTTTCTTCTTGGTGAGAATCTCCTTTTGAAACTTCGCGTTCTTTGGCATTTGTTCCAACATGTCTACAAAAGGAATGTTAATGTGTAAAGTTCTAAACATGTCCATGAACTTACCACATTGCTTGTCTAATCTCTGTTTCTGCACTCTGTGAGGATACGAGAGGGTCGTGTCATCGTTCGTCATAGCATGAGCATTTTCGTCAATTTTTGCCCCTGTGCGGCGACACTATGTCGCGGCATACTTAGTTCTACCCTCTTCTATGCCACAGCACTGTGCTGCTACACACTTGGTTCTACCCTCTTTTTCTTCTTCGAGTTTTTCCTTTGTTTCTCCTTCCTTCCATACTTCCTTCAACTCCTTACCACTTCTCAGTATGATAGCACTCTCTCCTTTGGAGTCTTCTCGGTATAACTTGGCAATGTTCCTTTGAACTCTTCCCACTAAAATATTGTGGATTTGCCCCATTTGAGTTTCAAGATTTCTTATGAAAGTGAATTGGTTTTGCAACAAAACTTCATACTTTTGGAGTTGAGCATCACTCTTGTCAAATCTTTTTCTTGACTCCTCCATGAATTTAGCGAGCACACTTTCCATATTAGATCTCTTCTCTTGAGGTTGGAAGCTTGGTAGTGGTTTGTACTCATTGTTGTTACTCCACGTGAAGTCTGGATGATTTTCCCATGCTGAAGTATATGTGCTTAAGTATGGATTCTCTTACCCTTTTTGAACATTGTTGACATAATGCACTTGTTCGAGTCTAGTGCATAAGGGTTATAAATGTCCTATGTCTGATGGGAAAATATTTGTTACTCCTAGTGTAAAATTCAATGAGTCTGAATTCCTCTTTTCATGCAAAAATTTTTGTTCTGAGTGTTCTTTACATGCATCTTCTAGTCTACCTTTAAACACTGCAGCATCCAATCGGCCTTCTACACATTTTCCTTGTGTTGTGATTTCTCACACTCCCTCCTTAAGTGATCATGCCCCATCTACAATGCCTAATGCTCATAAGAAGACTTCACCTAACATCACAATAGTTGGTAAGCATGTTTCAGGTCCATCATTATCCCAAATCCCATCTTCTTCATCAACACCTATTTCATCATCAATGTCACCCTATCATCACACAATAAGCTCATCACCAAGACCTACTTCGTCCTCTTCAAATCAAACTTACTTAGTATCCAACACCTCCTCTTCATCATCAAAGTCTCAATCATCACCCTATATCTCATTATCACCGGTTGAACCTCGACGTGTGTCCCTTCTTCTTGATTTACCTTCCACTTACATTCCACCAAATTGTTCTGTAGAAATTGACCTCAAAATTCCCTCATCCTCACAAACATTACATCGTACTATATCTTCTTCTCATATTAATTCTTTAGCAAGATCTTCACCAAGTTACTCTCTTGCAGATGATCTCTCTTTCTATAGGCCTCATGATAGTTCAACTTATCAGGTACCTCTTATTACTAATGTTCACTCCATGGTGACAAGTTCCAAACTAGTTGCTTCTTTTCCTATTGGTGTTACAAAGATTGCAGCTCCTACTAATAGTACTAAATCTGTAGTTCTTACTAATGTTACTACTAAATCTACTGTATCTTTTAGTGTTACTGAGTATGCAGTCCCTAAAGTTCTATTCACAACAAGTAAGAGTTTTGTGGTGTCTAAACACACTATTGTAACTGAAGCACTTACAACTCCTGAGGGGAAAAGTGCTATGTGATAATCCGAGGATTATACTAGTTTATTTAAGCTTTTAAGACCGATTTTAGATACTTCTTAGTTCATTTTTGCCTAAATCGCTACTTAATTCCTTACATTTCGTGTTTCAGGTTAAAATGGGAAATTTGAGCGAATAAAGAGAGATTTGGAGTTTCTAGACTCAGAAGTAAGCAGATCTCAAAAGTTGGGAGAATTCTGAAGCAGAGTCAAGCACGATAAAGCTTGTTCCCAAGGAAGAGCACCGAAGATCGAAGATTCAAGTGAAGAAGCAAGTGGAGGGCAATTCTGTAATTTCATATTCTTCCGGAAGCTTTGCCGCTGCGAAATGAACCAGACACACACTAAATCTGCTTCCTTCTTCGCCGCGGCGAGCGAAGTCTGCATTTTCCAGTTTTGTAAAACGCACAGTTTTACTTTTTAGTGTTTTCTGAGGATTTTGGGCGAAGTATAAAAGAAAAACTTAGTTTTTTTGCTAAGGGTTCGTCTTCGAATAGGGTTAGTAGCTTTTTACATTTTCTTAGATTGATTTTTGAGTGAATTTGGATTGAAAGAGGGTGAGGATTCGAGATTAAACCAGTGGATTCGTCATCTGGGGAGATTTCTTGTCTTTTCTCTTGTTTTCATTATGTTGAACTTTAGTATTTTCGTTTCTTTCATTTGTATTGTTGATTTAGCCATGAACTAACCCTTTTTGGGTTAGGGTTTTGATTGTAATTTAGATTTTTATAGGTTAAGTAATAGATTGTGTTCTTTTCATATGATTTTGCTTTGATTGTGTGTTTACTCTAAATTTACTATTTATATGTAATGAACATGATGAGATTGAGAAATGAATCATGTTAGGCTTCTTGGGTAATCACCATTGTAGTATTGGATGCTAGAGATATATTCAAGAACCAATGAAATCATTTTAGGACTCTTGTGCTTAATGAGCTTAGATTTATTAACTTTCAATTTGTTTGGTGCGGAAGGTTAATAGGGAAGAGTAGGAAAACATAGCCTGAGAAGGTATGTTTGACACTTTAAAGAGTTCGATTTACAATCAATGCATGTGAATATGAATTTAGTTTAATTCTATAGGTTTAACCCATAGAGTTCGAATGAAGTCAAAACCCTACCCGTTTGTTTGAACTGATTTTATCCGTGTTTTACATCTTGTGTTCATAGTTAAATTTTAGTTTAGTAAATTTTGTTTTAGTCTTAGGTTAAATTGCTCCCATTAATCCAAAAGAATTCGATTGCTGCAACTTGAGAACAGTAGGAAACTTAGTGCTTAGCGAAACAATCCTCGTGGGAACAATACTCACTCATCACTCTATTACTTGAGTGACTAGTATACTTGCTATCCATTGCATGTTGTAGTTACAACGCATCAAGTTTTTGGCACCGTTGCCAGGGATAGAGTTTTAAGTTAACATTGAGTTTTCTATAGTTAGCTAGATTGGAGTTTTAATTTTTGTTTTCATCATTGTCTGTTTTACTCTTATTTTTAATTCTCAGTTGGTTTGTGATCTCACTTTCTTTCGTTTTATCTTGTGCAATTTATGCAAAGAGCGAGACGTCAGCTAGTGGTTCCTGTTGATCTTGAGATTGAGAGAACCGCCAGACGACTTAACAGAGGGAGAAGAGAAAGAGAGGATACATGGTTGAATCAGAAGAAATACCAGTTGAAATGGCAGAACCAGAAAAAAAGACACTAAGGGAATTCTCAGTTCCCATGGTAAATGGCAGTGGGTGGAGTATTACTAGGCCTACGGTGCAAGCCAACAATTTTGAGATTAAGCCGACAATCATCTAGATGATCCAGCGGTCGGTAAGGTTTAATGGTGATTTGAAGGAAGATCCAAATCAACATATTATGAACTTCTTGGAAATTGGTGACACCTTCAAGTCGAACAGAGTGTCAGATGACGTCATTAGGTTGAGGTTATTCCCATTCTCATTGGGGGATAAAGCAAAAGGGTGTTTAATGGCACTACCATCGGGAACTATCACAACGTGGAATGATCTAGCACAGAAGTTCCTAACCAAGTTTTTCCCTCCAGCTAAATCAGCAAAACTGAGAAATGATATCACATCATTTCTACAAGATGAATTCGAGTCATTGTATCAGGCTTGGGAGAGGTACAAGGAATTAATGAGGAAATTTCCACACCATGGGTTGCCAGTTTGGCTTTAAGTCCAAACCTTCTACAATGGTCTGATGGGTAACGTGCAAACCATGGTGGATACAGCATCAGGAGGAGCCTTGTAGAATAAAACACCAGAGGAGGCTTATGAGTTGCTTGAGGTTTTGGCAGGCAACAACTATTAGAGACCAAATGAAAGAGCAATATCAACAAAATCCACGGGTCTTCATGAAGTTGATGCCTTCACAGCCATCTCAGCCCAACTCACGACACTTCAGAAACAATTGGGAAGTATGCAGGTAAACTCTATTCAAGCACCTCAACTAACTTGTGATTTTTGTGCAAGAAACCATGTGAGCAGCGAGTGTCAAGTGGGGAATACATTTGCTTCATCATCTTCATCATCGGAGCAAGTGAACTACTTGGCAGGAAATCAGAGACAACCAAATAACCCGTACTTCAACACATACAACTCAGCATGGAAAAATCATCCAAATCTGGCTTAGGGCAATCAGAACCAGCAAAATAATCAATGGAACCAAAGGACATTGCCAAATAACTAACCAGTGGCAAATAATCAACCGGGAGATCCAAGAGTAACAAAGTTGGAGGACATGTTTAGGAAATTCATGCAGGAGACCATGGGTTTTATGAATGAGATGAGGACAAATTTTAGAAATCAAGGGGCGTCCATTCGGAATCTTGAGGTACAGATAGGCCAATTAGCCGAGAAGCTAAATGAGAGACCGCAAGGATCTTTACCAAGCAACACGGTGACTAACCCAGGTGAGCAAGTAAATGCAATTACGTTGAGAAGTGGGATAGTTTTAGAAGAGGTGGAAAAATCAAGGAAAGAGGAAAGTCCATCAAAGAAAAATGAAGAATCTGATGAGGAAGTTGATGAAGAAATCATTGCTGAAGAGAAACCACCCAGCCCAAGGAAAGATGAATAGAAGCAAGAAGAAGGGAAAAAGAAAAGGAAAGAGAAATTGCCATTCCCCGAGATACCACCAGAGTTGGCGCATCACACACCACCCATGCCTTTTCCTCAAAGACTCAGAAAAGAAAATCAGGATAAGCAGTTTATTAAATTTCTTGATGTTTTTAAGAAACTACATATTAACATTCCTTTTGCAGATGCATTGCAGCAGATGCCAAGCTACGCAAAATTTCTTAAGGAAATCTTATCAAACAAGAGGAACTTAGAAGATGAGGAAACGGTGATGCTCACGGAGGAATGCAGTGCTATCTTACAAAAGAAGCTGCCCCCGAAACTCAAAGATCCAGGGAGTTTTACTATTCCTTGCACTATAGGAAATATCA